TAAATTGAATTGTGCTTTTAACATTAAGTTTACTATGGTTTATTTTAGGTTTTTGCTGCTAAGATATTTAAACATGTTTGCAAACAAATAAATAAACAATCAATATCCTTTATGTTATAAGGCCTAAATAACATTAATGACATACATTTAATTAAAATGTATAAATATAACTTCTCTTACTAATATTGCTATTTAATAACTAAAAGTATTAATAAAGTTATTAATAATGCGCTTGTTATTTATAATAGTTATATTTTATATTTTGTTTAACCCTAGCTATACTGCAGCGGTAAAACAAAATTACCAAGCTATTCTGCAACACGGACAGCTTATAAATGCGAATGGTAATGATAATAATTTTATGGACACCAACCTGGACAATCAATGTATGGCCAAAATGTCTAATAAATGCATGAAAGATAGCGTCAAACTTCATATGAATGATGATTACTATTGCTGTCAGTTATGGGACCTCATTGATTGCTATCAACAAAATTACCAGGTATTTAATATTTTATTTAAAATGTATGGTATTTAAAAATCATAATCAATTCATAAATGAAATAAATTAATATTTAAATTTAAAATATTATGTCGAAGTGACGTTCAAGCCAATTTTTATATCTTTAAGATAAATTAAAATTTTAAACTTATTATAAAATCTTATTTACAGTATGACTGCACATACGTCGAGCAACAGTCCATTCAGAATGACTGGAATTTACTTCAACTGGATTTCAGTGGCAAAGTATACACTCAAAGCTCGTGTACTAATCAGGGCTACCAACGGACTATGGACAGGCGTGTTTGCAATACTGACTCACCTTACCCTTACCCGCAACCATATCCATATAATAGCAATTCTACAAAGCTGCATTTTCAAATTAGATTTATATTTATAATTATTTTGCTAAAAATTTTTCTATTTTAAGTTGAAGTATAAAAAGTATTATCATAATAATTTTAATATTGTTTTGTGTATTACAATAGTAAATAAACTTTTAAGAATACTGTATTTAACATCTAAGTATTTTATTATAATTAATTAATCATTGGCATATAATATTATATTATTCTATAGATTATATTCAATATTCATTAGTCTTGTTACAATATTTATAATAAACAACCTTGATAACCAAAAAATATTTCAAATTAAATTTTTAGTTTAATATAATAATAAGCCATTTGTTTTGTACATGTTTAAATTATATATTAGCCGCGTAATAAACACTGTATGTCAAGTAATGTATGTATGCAAGTAATAATGACATAATCACTTACCATTAATGTGTCATATTTATTGTCATATATAATAGTAGTTGCTGTAAGCTAATTATGAGTAAATAATATTTAAGATAATTTTTGTATGAATCAATTGTTTAAAATATTCATTTTATGTTTAATATTTTGAATTTTATCTATGAATATAATTTTTGAACAAAATTTGAAAGCCGATTTATTAATTATGAGACATTCCCTGATTTCCAGCTTTATAATTTTGTTAAAATAAATATAGTAAATAAATAAAAATGTTAATATTTATTACAGTCTCTGATTGAAAGTTTTTATAATTAGTTTTGTATGTTTCTGATATTAAGGCATTTACATTTACTCTTCGTTAAGTTATTATAAATATTAGAAATGATTAATATAAAATTATTTATTCCTGTATACGTTTATAAAAATATTAATAACTTTTTATAATAAACTTATTGTGCTCTTGTAACATTTAGTAAAATTTAGTAACATTTAGGCCTTTTGCAGCTAGGATATTTGTTTATTTTGTAATTTAATCAATACACAATCAATATCACTAATCCTATTCGACTTCAATAACCTTGATGACATAAATCTACTTAAAATATATAAATACAACTTCTTTTACTCATATTTCTATTTATTAAATAAAACCATTAATAAAGTAATTTATAATACAATTTGTGAAAATGAAGTTTTTATTTATGGTAGTTATTTTGTTTAACTCTGGCTATACCGCAGTGGTAAAACAAAATTACCAAGTTATTATACAACAAGGTCCGCTTGTTAATGTCAATGGTGATAATAATAATTTGACAGATATAAACCTGGACAATCAATGTATTGCAAAAATGGGTAATAAATGCATGAAAGACACAGTAAAACTTCATATGAATGCTGATTACTATTGCTGTCAGTTATGGGACCTCATTGAGTGCTATCAACAAAATTATCAGGTTCATATTTCTATTTATGATCAATTCAATAATTATGGTAATTTATAATATAATTTTAAAACTTATATAAAATTAGATATTATTCAAATGTTTATAAATATCCCAGCGGTGATTTTAATCCAAAAATATAGTTAAAATTTTTCAAACGTATTATTTTTATTTACAGTATGACTGCACATACGTCGAGCAACAGTCCATTCAGAATGACTGGAATTTACTTCAACTGGATTTCAGTGGCAAAGTATACACTCAAAGCTCGTGTACTAATCAGGGCTACCAACGCACTATGGACAGGCGTGTTTGCAATACCGACTCACCTTATCCCTACCCAACATCATACCCAAATAATAGCAATTTTATCCAGATGAGTTTTCAAATTAAATTTATAATTATTGTTATTTTGCTAAAAATATTTATATTCTAACTTACAAGTAGATAAATACACATCGCAATGTACAATAATAGTATTATGTATTATTTAATTTATCTTGCTTGTGTATACTGTACAATATTGAAAATAATTTTAATAATTATTAATAATATTGTATTTAATGATAATAAGTTTATGTAATTTACCTTATTCATTAGAAATGTTATAATATTTATAATAAAAAACCCTGACAACAACAAAATATTTCAAATAAAAACAATTTTTAGTTTATATTATGATATTCACACAATCTTAGTGTTTAATGGTAAAAAGTAACTTTTAGAAAACTTATATAAATAAACTTAATTCATATAAAGCTTTGTATTTCTTATAATATCATAAACATTCACAACCTTTTCATAACTCAAAATAATAATTATGAAGTGTATTATTATACTATCATTAATGACTCTAATTGTAAGCCAAGGAATTGTTCCTGGCAATCAATACCAAGTAAATGTGGTCCGGGGCACACACATTGGTACAAATACAAATTCAATGGCAAACTCTCTGACCACGCAATGTCTGTCCAAAATGTATAGCATTTGTACCGTAAATGTGAGGCAAGCAATGATAAGCAATGTTATGTTACATTATTGCTGTCAATTATGGGACGTAATAGACTGTTATCAACGCAATTATAAAGTAAGTAGTGTAGTTTTAAAAAATTTATTAATTTTAAAATACCTAGCTAATTATTTTAATACAATTTTAGTCGTATTGCACAAACGCCGAGCAACAGGCCATTCAAATGGACTGGTATTACATTCAACTAACGTTTAATGGTTTTTCCCTTACGGAGACCAAATGCAATGTCCAAGGTTATTATAGGTCCAAGACTAGGCCGTTATGTAGTAATACTAATCAATATCCTAATTATAATCAAAATAATTACCCATATAATACAAATTATCAATACCCTGTTAATCGTGGCAAATAAAATCTTAATACGCTGGCTATTATGAAAAGTATATACAGTAATATTGATATTATATTATATAAATTTACTTTAAACCAGATAACTTTGATATTTAATTAAGCTATTTTAAAGAATTTAAAAAACAATTATGTCTAGTTAATAATAAAATGTAAAACTATATCAATATTTAAAATGTAATCTCTAGTGGTTGGGGTATCCAATATTTAAAATTTATTTATCTTTAATATTATAAAATTTATTTAAACTTATTTTACAGCTCTATTAAGGAATTAATAATATTAAATAAACTTTAAATGTTTTTAAAAATTATAATAAATATTAGTGTAGTGATTATATTTTCATTACATCCATTCATGTATTTTTTTAAAAATTAAAAGATTATTAGTTACAGAATAATAATATTGTTATTATTATTAGCATTATAAAATAAAAATTGTTTCATAACATGATACCCAATTAACAATAAATTGAAAAAAATAAGTTTTAAGATATTTTTATAATATTAAAATCCAGTTTTTATGAAACTTATTTTGTTTATAATGTGTTTAATATATTTTGTTATTTATATTCCAATATTTCAAGATAAATTCTTCTAGTATATATCATACTTGATATTTTCATTATTGAAAATGAGTGATATACTAAAAATGTTAATAATAAAAATTAATTTATATTAATAATAAGAATATTTTTAATTCAAAATTATGTATCATTCCTATTAAAACAGTAACATTACTTGGCAACCAAAACAATTAAATCATATTAAGCTATTTAGTTTATAGTTATTTGTTTTGCACGATCTATAATTATGATAATTATACGCATTCACTAAACAATATATAAATAAACTTATTTCACAAAACTATTTACAAGTTTTATTTTGCTTTCACAAAAAAATTAAGAAATTTAATTTTATTTGAGATTACCATGAAGCTTATTATAATATTGTCACTAATCACCCTGGTGGCTAGTCAAGGTGTTGTGCCGGGTAATCCATACCAGGTCACTGTGATCAGGGGCACACAAATTGGGTCCAACAGTATGACCTCATCCCAGACCACACAATGTCTGTATAAAATGTATGGCATTTGTACGCGAAATGTAAGAGTTTCTCAAAGTAGTCAATACTATTGCTGCCACTTATGGGAACTGAATGACTGCTATCAACGCAACTTCAGGGTAAGTTTAGTAGACATTTATTTTTAAATTAAGTACTATACCCATTTTGAATTAAGCATGAATTAATATTTATTTTAAAAACTTAATGTTTTCATAATAAACAATATAGTTTTACATTCCCTTAATAAAAGTATTATGTTGTAACAAGTTCATAAAAATTAAATGCAAAGTATTCATTTAATAATAATTTTAATATACATTAAACATTTTTAAATTAATTATTAACCTCGTTTGAATAATAAATTTGATACAAAATTAAATGTTAAAATTAAAATTAACTTTTAAAACTAAAATATAAACCAAACACCAAAAGGGTTGTCAGGGTGTTAAGTAAATATTTTAACAAACTATTTTATGTAATTAATTAGTAATTAAATAAATATTGTTTTCAATTATATTGCAGTCTTACTGTACGACTCCCGAGCAACAGGCCATTCAATACGACTGGAATTACATTCAACTATCGTTTAGTGGGAACACCTACACCCAGTCCACGTGCACCTCCCAGGGCTACTATCGGTCCATGAGTAGGTCCCTCTGTATGAATGATAACCAGTACCCTAATTACCAGAATCCCAATAATTATCCATATAACCCGATCCCTGGTAATCCTAATTATAATCCCAATTATAATAACCCGAACATTAATAACCCTAATTATAATAATCCAAATTACCCCAATAACCCCAATTACCAGTACCCTGTTAACCGAAACCCGTATTATTATGGTGTGTCAAGTAACATTAGTTTTAACTATATGTTATTTATTGCAACTATTTTGCTAATTGTGTTAAAGTATTAAAAGTTTTATTAAGTTTCACTGTTTATAATTTTATTTAAATATTTGTAATAATAATTAAAAATATATTGGATTAATATTAAGCTATTAAATATAAAATTTATTTGTTATTATCTGCTTTATTTTATACTTTTTAAATAATATTTTCAATGTGTAACTAGGATATGTTAATTAAAATATAAAAGTTATTATTAAGCATAAATACACAGATAGTAAACCTTGATTTTTGTAACTTAAAGTTATATCCAGGGATATTTCAAAATAAAATATTAGTATTTATGGCTTAAGATTAAAGTTTTAATATTGTTTCATAAATATATAAATAAGCAATAATAATGTGTTAAAATATTATACTTTTTAATTATTAAATCTAAATGAACAATGATGTATTAAAATTAAATAAAATGAAGTTTTTCTTAATATTAGTAATTTTTATTTTTAAAATCTATTATGCAAATTCTTTAAACATCACTACGGATTACCAAGCTATTGTAGTTCGCAATATTACAAACAATATGAACAAGGATCTTCTGGATGTAAACCTATCAAATCAATGTCTGAGAAAAATGTACAATCAGTGTATGAAACCCAGTATACAGTTGTATATGATTTACGAATATTATTGCTGTCTATTGTGGGATATTCTCGAGTGTTATCAACGAAATTACCAGGTTAATATTTTAAGTTATACATACAATTTATTTGCATACGCTTTACACTTAATTTATTAATTATAATTAATTTTTGAATTTAGCAATATTGTACCCTGTACGAACAACAATCTATACAAAATGACTGGAATTATATACAACTAGATTTCGGTGGGTTTTCATATACACAGAATTCATGCACTCAACAAGGTTATAGCCGTTATATGAACAGGTACATCTGTAATACAAATTATTATCCTACACCATATTATAATGGACAAATTTTACACGTAATAAGTTTCCATCTACTATTTGTTATTTTATTATTTAATCTAAAAATGATTTAAAAATTGTACTTACCTTGCTTGAATAAAAATATTATTTAATTTATAAAATATCAATAAATATTTATTATAACAAAATAAATACCAAAATAATTTGATACATAATTTTTTCATAACATACAATGAGATTGTATTAGATAAAATAATAATTATAAATAGATATAATTATATTAAAATAACATATACTGGGCCATTTTAAACAATTAATATTTAAACAAATAAAATATAACTAGGGCAACACCCGTTAGCACCACCACTGAGCTAGCTCGATTAAATCCGCTGGAATTATAACCATGGTTTCTACACCACCGTTTTGTATATTTAGTTTTCCGGCCATCCCGGGTGACATAGATGTCGTCCCACACCCTTTCCACCTCCCTTTGGTCATATGTGTCGCAATAGCTCCGGTAGCTTCCGTCCACACAATTCAATAACTGATACAAGGCTTTACACATTTTACTGTCAGTGTAATCATCAGGGTAAACTGTGCACCCCGTAAGGCGTAGACATGAGTCGGCACTTTTGATGTTAATGTTATTGTAATTATGAGCAGGTTTGTTAATTTTAGAGAAGTCCACTTGTAATGGTGAGGCTCTGTTATTGTGTGAAGCAGACTGTATGGCCCGGCTCATCGCTATGATCACCGCCAACTTGTATATAAAATTCATGTTAAGTTAGATGTTAAATATAGGCACTTAATGTTGTCAAAATTGGTAACAAGGTAATATGGTTATAGTTATGAAGTTTGTAGCTGTTTATATAATGGAATGAATCGGAAATGTTATAATTAAATCATTATTTTTAAGTATAAATGAGTAAAATGTTGTTAACGCTAATTTTGTTTGTCACGTTATCTAGATAATGTCAACAGTTACTATGGTAAGCAAGTATTTATTATGTAGAATATACAATAAATAAAATATTTTATAAACTAAATCATATTTTTTAATTGAACAATACTATACTATTGTGTTTTATATAAGTACAAAACTTAAAACTTATCAAAAATAATTAAATACAACTTAACTAGATATTTTAATAGTAACAAAAATATTTTTCGATTAACAATGTACTAAATAGTATTTATTAATTAAGATTAATGTTTCGTATGCTTTATAGATATTTGCCACAAGAATATTTAAGTATTAGCTAAATAACAATGATTCATACTAAAAATACTTTTATATTATATTATCAAATGATATATTGATAAATTAAACTTTAATTTAGAAAGTAATAAATTATATAATATAATATTAAATATAATACAACTTTTTAAAAATGTAATTGTTATAAAAAATGCAATTATAAACAATTTTAAAAATTGTACTAAATTCTATGGATATTCTAATCTAGTTTAGTTTATTATTATTTATATTTAAATATTCTTAAATGATTCACAAATCACAAGGAAATCCTAGTTTGTGGGGAAATATTCATTTAAAGCATAGGAACTAATTTACAAATAGCCAGGTATGTTACTCGTAATAATTATGATATAATATTTGGTGAATCATTAAAACATAAGCCAAAATATTGCCTTAATAGTGAACATCTATATTTTATATTACAAACGTATTGTGAAACCTATTTTATATTGTTTAGCAAATATTGACGCATTTTTATAATATTTTGTGATAAGATTATTTTTAACGCATTGTTTAGATTATAGGCTGTATTACTACGCTTATAATTTCTAAGATTATATAACTTATTAGGATTTTATAGTAATTTTATCAATATTATAGAAAAGAAATTTGTTATATTCAACATTAAAAATGTAAAAGGCAAGTTATTTTAAAATACAAATTAATTTTACAACACTTTAATTGCAGTCTATAAATAAAGATTTGATTTAATATTTCATAACATTGACACTTTTAAAGGTGTAATTTATAACAAAACAAGTAGGTGATAAGCTATCTTATTTTTCAAATAACTTGTGATTTAATACAATATAAATCCATTGAATAATATTGTGATAAGGGGAATAAAAATCAATACCAGTATATCCTTTGTATTTATGATATCTGAATGTCAATGTCAATTGATACTAATATTATTTAATATACTGTATATATTGAGCCCGATCAAATATTACGCCTCATTTATTAAAAAATTTCATTGAGTGTCATTTGGTTTTATTTTTCAAAAAAATAAAAATAAATAAAATGGACATGCGAGTAATTTGTTTATCCATCTTTTTAGTTATGTATAGTGTCTATGCGCAGGATAAGGGTGATCCTGGCCATTTTAGTAATGATCCGACTTGTATGACCTCATTAAATAGTAAATGTAACTTGGAACTTAAGAAACCCGATACCGGTAACAAAGACATAAAGTATTATTGTTGCCAATTGTGGAAAAATTATGATTGCGCTAAAAGGAACTCGGTAAGAAAATTGAAATATTTGTTTTTGATATTAATTTTAATTTATATTTCCACAATTTTCTATTTTATTTATGTATATTATAGTCATATAGTTTGTAAGTAAATAATAATAAATTGTTTATATTATTATAATGTAATATTATGTAATTAATTATTCAAGACACATTTTCAGATACTAATGATATATAATTATTATTTAGGATTTATGCAGCGATTGGAAGGAAAGAATGTATATTGAAATGAGTTGGCCTGATTATTACATACGGGTTGATTCAGTGCAGTTTACGCAAAAAACATGCGAGGACCTTGAGTATAAACGCGATTCTTGTCCAAGTAGTGTCAACGGACTTACCATGAGCATTTTATTGATGTCTACAATGTTTATTGCTAATTATTTGTGGAAATGCTAATTTAATATTATTGGTATAATAAATTTTGTATTTGAATTATGTAGCTTTGTTGTATATATTTTTTTTAACTTAATAACTATAATGTTGTTTTGAAATTATAACACAATTTTTAAATACAGGTATAAATATATAAAATATATTGCTCACATAAAATCAAATTATTTTATTAGTTTAATTATTATTTTCTTAAATATTATTCTTTTTTAATGACATTAAATAATTACTTATTTTTGATATTCAATTGGTAAGTTTAATATAAAATTATATTGCTATTATAAAACATATTTTATCTATGAGTACAATTTTTATGTAAGTCATCTAGATAAAACGACTTGCGTTAACAAAGCCTAAAATTTATATGAGGTTTATATAAAATATTATATATTATCATAAGTTATATAATATGCTATAAAATCATAATTCAGAAAACTTATAAAGTGCTGTAATTTTATGAAATCAATTGTCACCGTAAACTATAAATACTGTACCATTAACGAAAATAATAATTCATTAAATTAATTAGTTAAATTAATGTGCATATTAATTAAAATTAATAAAATGGAAACTAAATATTTTACTTTGATAGCTTGTTTATTTATATGCGCTATGCCAATATATAGTGATAATTCAGAAAATTTAATAAGTGTGGGCACTGGGAGTGGGAACGGCATCAAATCAACGGCTGAAGATTGTTACACTCAATTAAACACAAAATGTTCAAAACCGTTAGAAAATGGCAAGGACACTTAATATTATTGCTGCGATTTATGGAGATGGAAGGAGTCCGCTAAAAACAATTACAAGGTGAGTTTAAAAAATTTTAACTTACACATTTAGGAAATTTAGCAAATATGAAAAGTTTCATTTCAACTTAGCTTTCATATGATTTTATTAATAGCAAATGAATATAGAGTTAAAGTAAAAATTTTTATAACTAAAACATAACTCTTATATTGACTATAAAAATTATTCATGGTTACGTGCAACAGATAAATACCTTTTAAAATAGCATAAAATTATTATTATGTACTTGTTAGTTTCATGTACGTCAAAATATTTCATTTCTTAAAACATAAATTATTGAACAACACATTTACTAGCTTTAATAGGTCTTAATTAAAATTTTAAATAATATCATTTATATTTTATTTGAACATAATTATATTTGTTATTTATTATTTGTATAATATTTATATTAATAGTTATAATAATATTATTTATAATTTCAGGCTAAAGATTCACCATGCTCATGGGAAGAAAAAGTGAATGTCGATATGGATTGGGAGAGATTTTATACGAAAATGACTGTACCTGGTAGTGTTAACCCAGTTAGAGATCTTAACATCTACCAGGAACCATGCACAAATCTGGGATTTACCCAGGACCAATGCCCAAGTAGTGCTATTAAATTAGCCAGCAAATTTGTTTTATATTTTTGCATTTTATTTTCATTGTATTTAGTTAAATATAATTGAGCATTTAATGCTAAATATTATTTAAACTAGATTAAAAATAAATAAGTACTTTTCATTTTAATAATTAGATACACTATAGTATAGTAGTTATAAAGTAACAATCACAATAATAATTATCATGGAATTGTAAAAACTAATACAGAAATAACAAAAGTTAAATTACAAAAAAAATTTCAAGGTTAAATATATTTTGTAATAATTTTAAAATTATGTTATGTTTACTCAGCTTAACAGTACTTTCATTGTGATATTTATTGACTAAAACAGATTTGTATTAAATAAATAGTAATTAAGTGGAAAATTTTTGTATTTTACATTTTTTTATGTACAAATTATTTAACAAAAACCTTACATTTAAAAGTATTATTTTAAATAATCTAGATTCTTTTTAAATAAATTACTTTTTACACAGTTAACCCACCAAAATTATGAATATAATATGTGAGTATTATCAATACTGCTAAAATAATCATGCTAATATTAATTATTATTTATTTAAAAATAGCAAACGCTTTATATATCTATACTACCGGTGCTGCCCTACTAATTGCCATAACCCTTGGTGGTAAATGTCCACAAACTCAGTACTCAGCCCTAATCGCACCGTGCGTTTGCGGGAACGACACGTGGATTACTTGTAGCACTAATGAGTCCTTCAATATTAAGCGCACCTTTGAGTACATCTCACAGTCTGTCCACTGGACGGACAGACACTTCGAGCGTCTCATCATAAACGCCATGGAATTACATGAAATACCGGAAATGGCTTTCGGAGACATTGTGTTCAATGAGCTACAGGTGCTTAACGCCCGCAAACTCCATACCATACATACCAACGCATTTGGAGCCACGCGTCTACACCTGAAACGCCTGTCCATTACCGGCGCCGACAGCCTAACCACCACTACCTACCAGTACAACCTGTTTGAGGCCTTGTCCTCCATCAACAACATACAGGCGCTGGAAGTTACCGGCGCTAACCTCGTGGACATACCTGAACGGGCGTTCAAAC